ATCTGTACCAGGCAGAGGACAAGAGTCTGGCCAAACCCAGCCCCAAACTTAATTTCAGTGCCGATGGGCCACCAAGGAAGGCAAACCCCAACATCAACTGGAACGACCTGATCGCCCCCCCGCACATCCAGAAGACCAGGGGCACCAACCTCGGCCTGCAACACCTGCCTGGAGCAATTGCGCAAGGCCAGCCAGAAGAAGTGCACTCGTCATCGGCTCAGCAAGAAGGAGACCTGGCCCCTTCCCAGGTCCCCATCGGCAGACGGAACCAACCAACTGCGCACCCACCACAATGGAAAACAAGAAGATCTGGCCCAAACACTCCAGGTGACCAACCCCCGTGGTTTACCCCCAGTCAGGGGTGTCACACCCACACCACTTTGACAGCTGGGGAGCACAAAGGAGACCTAGCAATCCTCTTTGTGTCACATCACAGCCCGCATCCTCACCACTGGGGCGCACAGCACACAGAAGGTTTTTCATGAACAGAGAAGATGAATGTAAAAAACCTTCTGCCTTTTGAGCCGCTTTAAAAAAGAACTTCCTAAATACACAAAATATAACTGGATACTAATTTTTTAGAGGTAGTAATGACAAGGGTATTTGAGGGCAAGAAAAGTTTAAACAAGTCCCAATGATGGATTTTGTTCTAAATTCCAGAAATTGGGCATTAAATTTGAGCTTGAAGGCAAAACATTTTTTTTCTTTCTGAATAGAGAGAGTTATAATCCTTATCAGGTTTTTTTGCCATGTGTGTCCAATTGATGGGATTTCTATTCACTTCCTGTCCGAATCCCAAAACAGGAAGTGAGAATAAATCCTTTCAAAGTGAGGGAATCCCTGTTTGTTACCAGGGTCACCATAACTAGTGTCCCCATGGAAGGACTTTCCCTCTATGCTCTGGGGACAAGTCAAAATTTTGGATGTTCTTTCACTTTCATGCACAATTGTAACAGTAAACAGGACAAATAGAGAGGTTGAATCTACCCAATAGGGGCACAGACAGCACTAAATACCTGACAGGTGTTTTAATCCTTCTCCACTCTATCCAAAACCAAAATTATAAAAAAAAAAACTAAGCTGGGAACACACCAGGGGTGTGAAAATGTTTGAAAAAACTACTATTTTAGGGACTAAATAGGGGCCCAAATCTTTAGCCCTTTCACTGCCAGAGCCCTTTTTGCATTTTTTGCACACGGTCAAAAAATCATTTTAGGCCTAAAGATTACATAAAACCCACAAACATGATATATTTTCTGAAATCAGAGACCCTAGAGAATAAAATAGTGGTAGTTCCAATTTTAAGATTGCAGCGAGAAAATAGATATCCAACTTGTCAAACCTTCAATTTGTGCGTGCTCGTGAAATGGCAACAACGAACTTCAGTACCCTATATTTTCTATAGGTCGACACTTTTAAAGCTCCTTAAGTGTCACCAGTTTAATGTTATGGAGGAGTTCTTGTGCGAGAATTATTGCTCTCATTCTGGCGTGCACGGTGATATGTGACATGTGTATTGCAATCGATGGTTTCATTCGTAGGCGCCCCAGCATGTGCTTTTACGCTTGTACGTGCCTATATGTGGGGGTGGAGGCCTCAATATTTTTTTTGGGGGGGATGGTATGTGCTTGGGTGTAACTTTAATTTTTTACAATGATGAAAAAAAAAAAACTTTTTTTTTTTTTTTATCACATAGGGGACAAAGTTCCCTATGTGATGATTTTTGGTGACAGGTTCTCTTTGAGACATCCAAGGTCTAAAAGAACCTGCCATGTCTCCCCACTGTTCCACTGAATGTAATGTGGTGCACAGCGCGCCATATTACATTCTTTCCCGGGAATTGCATTACAATCTCTCAACGGGGACCCAGGAGTGACATCGTAACACCACTTCTGGGTCAGCACAGGAAGGGGAGATGAGCAGACTTGTCCACTCCTCTCCCTCCCCTCTAGCCGATGGCAAGCTAGGCCTACAGATGGGCAGGTGGAGCCCAGGAAACCTCGGGGGGGGGGGGGGGGGGGGGGGGGTATGGGGCGCGGAGAGGCTGGCACTGTGTGGAAGTGACAGCTTGCCCACATCAGGGCTAAAGGTAGAAAAAAAACTACCTGTGCTGGGTGTCAGGCGTTAGGAATCCAACATCCCTGCACACTATTAGTTACTTTTCTTTCGGCCAGCAGGCAGATTCCTGCATCCACACAAGCAATGTGAGTGCAGGAATTGCAACCCTAACCTCCCACTGGGGCACTGTGTTCTGATATTGGGGATTCTTTGCTGTCAGAATACACTGATCAGGACTGCAGTCAAATGGCAGCAAGCCACTGATCGAAAAAGGTATTCCAGCAGTCCTCTTTGACAGAAGCCTAACGATTGGCTTCTGATGAACTACGCACAGATTGAAATTTAGCCGATCCCTGCTGAACCAGGAAAATTTTGATCTATGTGTACCTAGCTTTATTTATACTTTAACAATAAAGTAAAATCATACGAATGTGACATAAAAGACCTTAGAAACTAAGCTCCTTAAAGGCACAAACTTATGTGAATGTACAATATGTTCAGCAGGGCTCGACAATTCCCAGGTTGCCATGGCGACCAGAAACCGCATCCTGGCACCTGGGCCCCCACCAGCCCACACTGCCCCGTGCTCCCCCAGCTTACATCCTCACCCAGCTCTTCTCCCCCGCCCCACAGAGTGGAGCTCAGCCCAGAGTTCCAGGACCCTCGGAGTCTCTCCTCATCCTTACCTGTGCACAGAGTCCAGGTGGAGCACAGAGTCCTAGACAGCCCCACGAAAGCCACGTTCCCCCCCAGAGGACACTGCAGGCCTGCCCACCACTGCACAGTCACTCTCATCAGAGCACCCATGGAGCAGAGGACATGGCCTCCCACACCAACCGCTCCATTCACACCACTGGACGAGTGCTCAGAGGACAGCCAGCCGCACACCGGAGCCTGTCAATGCTGCCTTCAACTGTGGCGGCGCTCCCCACTAGAGGACCAGAGCCAGGGGGGCCACCAAGTGTGACAGCAGACAGGCCCACCTCCAGCACAACGCTAACAACCAGGCTACCCTTCCTGGCATCAAAACCTCTCCATTGACACCATCTGAAAGAGCCACAGCTGGACAGGTGAGAGCTGTCCCGCTGCCTCCTACCTGTCCTGCTGCCCACACCAGTGCCACGGCCCCTCTCCTGTCCTGCTGCCCCCCTTCCTGGAACATTGCCCCCCACCTATGACACTGCCCCCAGTTGGCTCCTAACCTTTTTAGCTGGCTCTCAGATTCTAAGTAAATTTGGCAAGCCCTGATGTATAGCACTGTATAAATTGTAAATACCTGTAATAATTAAAATACATAAAATAACATGATCATGTAACAATTACCCTTGTACATCCATCCTTCCATCTCCGATACAGGCAGAATATCTCACCTGAAAGCCATGTCATCTGTGTGTAGTCACCACTGACAATATGCAAACCCATAGGAGTCTGCAATGACAATGGCCATACCTATTGAATTGTGCAATGACTATACCCGTGAAAGTCTACAATGACAATATACTCATAAAAGTGGACAATGACCACAGCCATGGGAGCCTACAATGACCACAGCCGTGGGAGCCTACACCAATGACCACAGTCGTGGGAGCCTACACCAATGACCACAGCCGTGGGAGCCTACACACAATGACCACAGTCGTGAGAGCCTACACCAATGACCACAGTCGTGAGAGCCTACACAATGACCAGAGTCGTGAGAGCCTACACCAATGACCACAGCGTGGGAGCCTACACCAATGACCACAGTCGTGAGAGCCTACACCAATGACCAGAGTCGTGAGAGCCTACACCAATGACCAGAGTCGTGAGAGCCTACACCAATGACCAGAGTCGTGAGAGCCTACACCAATGACCAGAGTCGTGAGAGCCTACACCAATGACCAGAGTCGTGAGAGCCTACACCAATGACCAGAGTCGTGAGAGCCTACACCAATGACCAGAGTCGTGAGAGCCTACACCAATGACCACAGTCGTGGGAGCCTACACCAATGACCAGAGTCAAGGGAGCCTACACCAATGACCACAGTTGTGAAAGTCTACAGTGACCACAGTCGTGAGAGCCTACAGTGACCATAACCATACCCATAAAAGTGGACAATGACCGTATTTGAGGGAGCCTGCAACGACCAAAAGCCGAGGAAGCCTGCAACGACCGCAGTGGTGACGGTCTACGACAACGACCGCAGTGGTGACGGTCTACGACAACGACCGCAGTGGTGACGGTCTACGACAACGACCGCAGTGGTGACGGTCTACGACAACGACCGCAGTGGTGACGGTCTACGACGAACGACCGCAGTGGTGACGGTCTACGACAACGACCGCAGTGGTGACGGTCTACGACAACGACCGCAGTGGTGACGGTCTACGACAACGACCGCAGTGGTGACGGTCTACGACAACGACCGCAGTGGTGACGGTCTACGACAACGACCGCAGTGGTGACGGTCTACGACAACGACCGCAGTGGTGACGGTCTACGACAACGACCGCAGTGGTGACGGTCTACGACAACGACCGCAGTGGTGACGGTCTACGAAACGACCGCAGTGGTGACGGTCTACGACAACGACCGCAGTGGTGACGGTCTACGACGACGACCGCAGTGGTGACGGTCTACGACAACGACCGCAGTGGTGACGGTCTACGACAACGACCGCAGTGGTGACGGTCTACGACAACGACCGCAGTGGTGACGGTCTACGACAACGACCGCAGTGGTGACGGTCTACGACAACGACCACAACCATACCCATGAAAGTGCACAATGATAGCCATGAAGTGTACATTGCCCATACTCATGGAAGTCTATAGTGACAAGGACCACAGTCAAGGAATCTTACATTGTAGTGAAATGCACACTACTGGATGACACACAGGTGACAATGACAAGTGACGTGAAAGGCTGTGTCCCCCAAAGCACCTAGGTGTCCGTATCTCACCTCTTCCACCTCGATCTCCTTGTAGTCGATCTCCTCGAAGTTGAGTACTGGGGGGGTTTCAATCATGTCAGCGGAGGAGGCAGACATGCCGCGCCTTCACCGAGCAATTCCGGGCCTCGGCCAGAGGCTGACAGCAGCTCTTACAGCAGGAGATTAGAAGGTCCGGGGCCACCGTACACTCGGCCTTCACTGGCGGCCCCGGCCCTGCGACGTCCGAGCCCCCCCCACTGCACGGCCCAGCCGTACGGCTCACACACACCACGGACGAGGCAGAGAGGGAGCTGCGGCCGCCGCTACGCTGGCACCCTCCCGAACCGAGCATACATGCAGCGACCCAAGCTGCAAAGGCCGGGAGCAGACTGGCGGTGAATGGGGCGGCGCTACCGACTACGTCAGACACTTTCCAAAGAATTCAGAGGAAGTTTTTTTTTTTTTACAAACTTTATGAAGACTTTTGATCTTGAACAAAGATAATGCAGTTTGTGTTACATTTTGTAGGAAACGTGCGGTGAACAAATACCTAGGCTGCGATTCATTAACTCTCCTTTTAAAAATGCCTCTTGACTGGCTGGCAAAGTGATTTAAAGGTTTCACGCAGTTGTCTAGTATCCTAGATCCTGCCCTATTGTGTCTGCACCCTCACGATCCAAGACATTCAGTGCTGTACAGAGGAGGAGAGGAGTGTCAAAGTGTGCTCCCCAGCTGACCAGCTGCTGACCTGCCTCTGACCAGCCACTGACCTGCCACTGACCAGCCTATGACCTGCTGACTGCAGTGATCACCTAGCCAACAGTCACACCATGGTCCCCACATCAGCACAGCAATGCGGGCCCACCTAACCACTCAACACCAAAACCTATTCTTCATTTGGGGTTCATTCAACCGCACTGACACCAAATTGTATGGTGTCAAAAGGGGCAGTAGCAACAATCCAGGGTTAACTTTTCTCTCAGCAACACCAACCATAATGGTTTTTTTTATAACACACTGACACCAATAATTTGGGTTTTATTATATGTCACTGACACAAACAATGTGGGTTTTAGTATATCTCACTGACACCAACAATGTGGGTTTTATTATATCCCACTGACACTAACGATTTGGGTTTTGTTATAGCCCACTGACAACATTTTGGGCTTTATTATATCCCACTGACACCAATAATTTGGGTTTTAGTATATCTCACTGACACCAAACAATGTGGGTTTTATTATATCCCACTGACACCAACAATGTGGGTTTTATTATATCCCACTGACACCAACAATGTGGGTTTTTTATATCCCACTGGCACCAACAATTTGGGTTTTGTTATAGCCTACTGACAACAACATTTTGGGCTTTATTATATCCCACTGACACCAACAATTTGGGTTTTATTATATCCTACTGACACCAACTGTGTGGGTTTTATTATATCTCACTGACACCAGCAATTAGGTTTTTTTATATCCCACTGACACCAACAATTTGGGTTTTATTACTATCCAACTGACACAAACAGTTTTGGTTTTATTATATCCCACTGTCACCAATGCTTTGAGTTTTATTATATTCCACTGACATAACAAAGGGGCAGGTGTTTCTGTAGTCCACAGAGAGAACTGATCAGACTGCTATCTGATATGAATGTGTCACAGAAAGCTGTGAGTGTAATGGATTACTGGCAGGATCATCAGATACTTTGTGTTCCTATTGGGCAGACATTAACAAAACACTTTCAATGGTAATTTTAACAGACAAAAAGGGAGGAAATAAAAGAATGGCTTTGATAGGGTTTACACATGGATGTCTCACCCCCAGCCCACTGACTGGACAGCAGGAGCAGGAGCAGACTGATGAGGTCTCACTTCTGCTTGCTCTATCATCCTATGAACACGTTTCCTCTCAGCGTAATTGAATACAGCACATCTGATTGAATCCTAGTCCAACCCTTCCATTTCAGTGCTTCTGTATAGGGGATTGCAAGAGGCTAATACTGAGTCAAATCCAGATACTTATGCCAGCCATAGAAGGTTAGAAAATTGTCCCAAAAAAAAAATTGGTTGATTTTTGCACTGTTAGTGGGTTAATTGGTCGGACGGTTTTTGTTTTTTTGCACAGTTTTTTTATCGGTCATGTTGGAAAATTTGCGGCCAATTTGTCCGATCGGCCGATTTTCCTGGCAATGATGGACAAATCGGCCAATCGTTTTACGGATAAAAAATCTACACATGAGCCGTGACCTGCAAGGTTGCCAGCATTCATTTTACTGTAAATGCTCACACACACATGTGTGTGTGTATGTGTATATATATATATATATATATATATATATATATATATATATATATATATATATATACAGTGGGGATCGAAAGTTTGGGCACCCCAGCTAAAAATTTGTATTAATGTGCATAAAGAAGCCAAGGAAAGATGGAAAAATCTCCAATAGGCATCAAATTACAGATTAGACATTCTTATAATATGTCAACAAAAGTTAGATTTTATTTCCATCATTTACACTTTCAAAATAACAGAAAACAAAAAAATGGCGTCTGCAAAAGTTTGGGCACCCTGCAGAATTTATAGCATGCACTGCCCCCTTTGCAAAGCTGAGACCTGCCAGTGCCATGGATTGTTCTCAATCATCATCTGGGAAGACCAGGTGATGTCAATCTGAAAGGTTTTAAATGCCCAGACTCATCTGACCTTGCCCCAACAATCAGCATCATAGGTTCTTCTAAGCAGTTGTCTAGAAAACTGAAACTGAAAATAGTTGATGCTCACAAAGCTGGAGAAGGCTATTCGAAGATAGCAAAGCGTTTGTCAGATGTCAATATCCACTGTTCGGAATGTAATTAAGAAATGGCAGTCATCAGGAACAGTGGAAGTTAAAGCAAGATCTGGAAGACCAAGAAAAATATCAGACAGAACAGCTCGCAGGATTGTGATAAAAACAATTCAAAACCCACGTTTGACTGCACGATCCCTCCAGAAAGATCTGGCAGACACTGGAGTTGTGGTACACTATTCCACTATAAAGAGATACTTGTACAAATATGGTCTTCATGGAAGAGTCATCAGAAGAAAACCTCTTCTACGTCCTCACCACAAAAATCATCGTTTGAACTTTGCAAATGAACATATAGACAAGCCTGATGCATTTTGGAAACAAGTTCTGTGGACCGATGAGGTTAAAATTGAACTTTTTGGCCGGAATGAGCAAAGGTACGTTTGGAGAAGAAGGGGCACAGAATTTATTAAAAAGAACCTCTGTCCAATTGTTAAGCATGGGGTTGGATCAATCATGCTTTGGGGTTGTGTTGCAGCCAGTGGCACAGGGAACATCTCACGAGTAGAAGGAAAAATGGATTCAATAAAATTTCTGCAAATTTTGGATGGTAACTTGATGCCATCTGTGAAAAAGCTGAAGTTAAAGAGAGGATGGCTTCTACAAATGGATAATGATCCTAAACACACCTCGAAATCCACTGGGGATTACATCAAGAGGCGTAAACTGAAGGTTTTGCCATGGCCTTCACAATCTCCTGACCTCAACATAATTGAAAATCTATGGATAGACCTTAACCTCCCTAGCGGTATGATTCTTTCCGATTTTTTGTGCTGAAAGCGGTACCATTTTTTCGCATGGAAATAGTTTTTTATTGTAGGCTGTAATTTTTAGGAAAATTTCCCCACAAATCATTATCACTCAATTCTGCAAGTGGTTCTGATTTACTATCGCTGTTCTCTAGCCGGTTTAAAACCGCTTTTGACGTAAAGGGACGCTTTTTGGATGCCATGGACGTTTCTCAGTTTCCAGGCAGAAAGAACAGAAAAAATGCAGGCAGGGCACAGGACAAAAGCACTAGGGACAATATGTATGTGAAATGGGATGAAACAGCAATCTTTTACTATTTCAAATTTAAAAAAAATAACATTTTTAAAATTTGCCGCCACCGGCGGCGCCCGTACATCCCGACGTCATGGGGACCGGAACATAGGAGCCGGATGCCGGCATCCGCCGGAGGAGATGGCCGGGGACGCTGCAGGGGACACATCGTGGGAGCGAAGGACAAGGTAAGTGCTGCAGGGACCCCCAGAGCAGCGCTGCATGGTAAGCCCGAGTGTAGCTCGGGGATACCGCTTGTGGTATAGAAATTTTACCCCGAGCTACACTCGGGAAAACCGCCAGGGAGGTTAAAAGAGCAGTGCATGACAGACAGTCCAGAAATCTCAAAGAACTGGAAGACTTTTGTAAGGAAGAATGGGCAAAGATACCTCAAACAAGAATTGAAAGACTCTTGGCTGGCTACAAAAAGCGTTTACAAGCTGTGATACTTGCCAAAGGGGGCAGTACAAGATATTAACTCTGCAGGGTGCCCAAACTTTTGCAGACGCTATTTTTTTGTTTTCTGTTATTTTGAAAGTGTAAATGATGGAAATAAAATCTAACTTTTGTTGACATATTATAAGAATGTCTAATCTGTAATTTGATGCCTATTGGAGATTTTTCCATCTTTCCTTGGCTTCTTTATGCACATTAATACAAATTTTTAGCTGGGGTGCCCAAACTTCGATCCCCACTGTATATTGTTTCTGAAAGTCCAAAATTAAATTGTATTCCTAGAAAAGGTAATGAGGTTCTAAAAAGGAGAAGAGGAGGAGGAGGGGGGCGGGAGAGGAGGGGGAGGAGTTTGCTATTATATTTTATATGAAAAAGTCTTGCGGTTGCAACAAAGAAGTTCGCTATTATATTTTATATGAAAAAGTCTTGCGGCTGCAACAAAGAAGTCCGCTGTTATATTTTATATGACAAAGTCTTGCGGTTGCAACAAATGTATCCATTTGTATCCAAATAAAAACATAATGTATTTGTATTGTCACATTGTATAGTGTGCTCCCCTGTCTCTGTCAAACTGGTTTCTTGTCCCATTCTTTTGTGAGCAATGGTGGCAGCATCGGCAAAGGCACCGACCGATTTTTCGTTTATCGGCCGACAATTCGGCTGCTAAACATCCCGTCTATGGCCTGCATTAAACTAGCTGCATTAAAAAAATGATAAAGAATACTGCATTCATCTGGATCTTTTATATCTTCCCGGAGCTCAGCTTTAGGGGCCAGTTCACACTACATGCGTTTCAGTTGCTTTTTTTCTGCATCCAAAATGCACAAAAATTAGGTATGTGGTTGTCATTGTCATAGTTCACACCAGTGCTTGCAGTTCCAGTATGTTCTGGATGCAGGAAAAAAAGTAGAACAGGCTGTATTTTTCCTGCACAAAACTGTAGTGGAACGTGGTAAAATGCATCAAACACGCACTGGAATGCACTAGAATGCAGTCAAACCACACTGGAAAGCAAATGTTCCTATTTAAATTGAAGAAAAAGAGCCCTGGAGCCACTAGAAAGCATAAAAAAAGCACCAGAAAGTGTAAAAAACGCACCAAAACCGCACATGTGGAAACGCATCTGGAACACATCTGGACTGCATTTCTATGGTGTGAACCGGCTCTAAGGCTCCATTAAAACCTATACAGTTTGTATTGTGCCGGTTTTAGGGCTCATTCACACTTGACTGTATGTCTAACTCTTGCCAAACGCCCCTATAACGTTTGACAGGCAATAGACAGGTGTTTGGGAAGTGTTTTTAACCACCTCCCGTCTGGACGTTGTATATAAACGGTGGCAGTGCAGGGTCGGGTGGCCATTTATAAACGGCCTCCCCGCCCCCTGCTTGTGCGTGCTCCCTGGGAGCGCGCAGCAGCACCGCGACGCGGTGCCCGATGTGTCCTCCGGACACAGTAGAACACTGATCATCATCATACGGGACCTCTGTGCGAGGTCCCGATCATGTGATCACTGATTGGCCAATCTGTGATCACATGCAGAGTAGTAAGCAAGCTGTCACATCTGACATCATTGCTTACTACGTGTGAAATCTGTGAATGATCACAGAGATCACATGGTATAAGGCTAGTCACAACAGCCTTGTACCATGTGACAAGCTGTAACCAATCACAGGTCACACAGTATTTCTCAATGGCTGCAAGAATGCAGCTAGAGAGAAGGAGAAATGATTGCTTTTACAGCCTTTATGGATGTAAAAGCAATCCGTGTAAAAAAAAAAAAAAAAAAAAAAAAAAAATCTTCATTCCCCCAAGTAGTATAGTGTCACCATGGTGACACTGTACTGCTAGGGTGACAGTATGTAAAAAACAAAAAAAACATAAATAATATTATAAAAAAATAAAATAAAATTGTTATAAAAAGTTTCAAAATTATAATTTTTGATTATAAACTAATTTGGGTTATTTTTTTTTTTTACTAAAAAGATAACTGAATAAATTTTGGCCAAGATTTATGATGAAATATTATTTTTTGCAAAATAAAAAAAAAAAAAATCCCAGTGGTGAATAAATACCACCAAAATAAAGCTTTATCTGTCTCAAAAAAATGCTAAAAAATTCATTTGGGTACAGTGTGCATGACCACGCAATTGTCATTCAAAGTGTGATAGCGCTGAAAGCTGAAAATTGGCCTGGACAGGAAGGGGGTGAAAGTGTCTAGACTGGAAGTGGTTAATGCTCCTCAAACACTCCCCAAACACTCCCAAAATGCCCTATGCGTGGTTTTGAGGTGGTTGACAGGTGTTTACCAAGCGTTAAAACCGCACCACAAACTCCTATAATGTTAAATGGTATTAACGCTCCGCAACCGCCTCGCAGCCAGGTCGGAACCACACCACTAACACCTGCCAGGTGTTTGCAGAGCGGCACCATAGACTTGAATGGGAGGCTTCAACTCCTCCTGACTCCACACAAGGCGTCAGTTTTGCCACGACTCTAATGCTTCCGTGTAAACAGCACTGTATGCTGCCATGTGCGGAATTTTCAGAGGCGTTTGAGAAGCGCTAAAAACACTTCCCAAATGCCTGTCTGATGCCTGCTGACAAAGCTAGTGTGAACATAGCCTTACAGTGCTTTTCAGGGTTCCTTTTTCATTTTTCTACACACGTTTTTGACACATTTTTGACATGTTTTTTACCGTGCTTTGTTCAACTTTTGATTTTTTTTTTTGTTGCTGAGCAGAATAAAAATACAAAACGCGGCAAAAACGCACTACCATGCATTTCAGCAGATTCTCCATTGAAATCTATTGTAGCAAAAATGCTGTATTTTGCTTTTAAAAAAGTCCCTGATCGTTTCCAAAAATGCAGCAGCACAAAAAAGCATAGATGTGAACATGTTCCATAGGAAACCATGTTAAATGGACTGTAGTGCATTTCTGCAAAAAGAACTAAAAAAAAACGCATTGGTGTGAACAGAGTCTAAAGCATTGAGGCTAGAGATAGCCAGGCAAATTACAGTTTCAGAAGTAGGTTAGCAATAGCAGCCTCTGTCTTTCTCTCATTACAGCCTTCATTTAATGGGTATGTAGAAGAGACTTTAACCACTTACCCTCCAGAGGATTTACCCCGCTTCCTGACCAGGCCATTTTTTGCGTTACGGCACTGCTTTACTTTAACTGACAATTATGCGGTCATGCAACGCTGCACCCAAATGAAATTTACTTCACTTTTTTCCCACAAATTTTGTTTTCTTTTGGTGGTATTTGATCACCTGTGCGTTTTTTATTTTTTTCTATAAAAAAAAAGACAATTTTGAGAAAAAAAAAAAAACAATATTTTTGACTTTTTAAAACATATCTAGTAAAAAAAATTTAAAAATCAAATGTTATCATAAATTTAGGCCAAAATGTATTCTGCTATGTCTTTGCTGAAAAAAAATCCCAATACGTGTAAATTAATTGTTTACGTGAAAGTTATAGCGTTTACAAATGGCGGTATAGATACTGGGATTTTTGTTTTTCTTACTAATAATGGCAGCGATCAGCGACTTATACAGGACTGCAGGGGGCATTCTGACACTGGGGGGAACTGACTTGGTGTCACTGACATCCCCAGTGACACCAATACAGTGACCAGTGCTAAAAAAAAGCACTGACACTGTACTAATGGCACTGGGCAGGAAGGTGTTAACATGAGGGGTGATCAAAGGGTTAACTGTGTGATGGGAGTATTTTACAAGGGGCGGTGTGTTGGTGCTTCTATGTAAGGACACTGCTCTGGATGGCTGTGCTGTGCACAACCATCCAGAGCAGTGTGCCCGAGCCGACAGGGAGGAGGACTGTTAGAAAACAAAGCAGTCCTCCTCCCCATTGGAGATCCTCGGTAATCACCGGGCACCGGCGGGTAATCACTCGCCAGGACCCGGTGACTGAAAGCCACGGTTGCGAGTGGTGGCACGGGTAGGGTGTGTGTGCGCAGCTCGCGTGTGACTCACACGCACTCCCTACCCAGAAATGCAAAATCAAGTATATATACGTGATTTTGCACACCCCTGCTGCCCTGTAGCAGTATATCTGCTATAGGGTGGTGGGGAAGCCGTTAAAGTGGCTGTAGAGGCTCAAGATTTTGTACCCTCATACATTCTATGCATAAAGGTAAAAACCTTCTCTGTGCAGCAGCCCCATTAATACTCACCTAAGCCCACTCTCGATCCAGTGATGTGCACTGGAGTCTCGGCCATCCCTGGACTCCCTCTTCTCATTGGCTGAGACAGCAGCGGGAGCCATTGGCTCCCACTGTTGTTAATCACAGTCAGTGAGCCAATGAGAAGAGCGAGGGGGCGGGGCCGAGCTGCAGCTCCATGTGTGCCTGGACACACAGAGCAGTGAGTGCCACCACAGCAAGCTACTTGCTGTGGGGGCACCCGACAGGATGGAGAACTATTGCACACAGCAGGTAAGTATAGACATGTTTGTTATTTTTTCTTTAAAAAAAATATAAGCCTTTAGAATCACTTTAAGATTCAGATGTGTGCCAAAAGGGTAGGGTTGCCACCAGTGTGGGTTTGAACTGAAAAGTCAGCTTCCTATAATAGCTGCATGTGTATTTAAAGTGCAATTGCAGCTGAACCCTAACAACTCCTAAAACTGTCCCCTACCCGCTCCTTACACCTATTCTTAGTAACCTGTGTAAGAAAAATATTCAGTATATTGTATACTTACCTATTTTTAGGCTGCTCTGGTCTGGTTCTGTGATCCTGCTCCCCTGTGTAAGCCAATGGCAGCTGCAGGGGAGAGTGCTCTGACAATAG